ATTGCTATCATATAGTTACACCGCCATCTCGTGACAGTAACAGTACGGTAGCGGTATTTTGTGCGGGTATCATGGGATATCGCACGCTTGGTTATCTGGGGTAATATTTTATTATTGAAAATTTTATCACCGGTCAATAATAAAATCTCCAGTAGTAAAATATTATCATTGATAAAATTCCATTGGAAACATCACTGGATTGTATAAATGAGTAGCTTTCAATGCGAATCATATTTCTATTGACAATAATCCAGTGACAAAATATTATACCACTGGATCGAATAATATTCCTATTGATGCGTATCCAATAGTAACTTAATATATCATTAATCGAATGATATGCCTATTAAACTACATCCAATGATAAAATATTTTACCATTGATCGATGAATGATTTTCTTATTGAACGCTTCAAGTAATAAAATCGATAATGATAATGCCGTTGTGTTCGTAAAATTTTATCATTAGTTCAAATGATTTTACTATTGATCTGAATGATAATATCATTGACACTTTTCGCAATGGATTTTCACCTGGAAGTCCATTTTTGGAGTTTACTTTACAGGCGAAATGCTGCACTCCTTATATTCTGTCCTAGATGATTCTTGTTAACGAGTAAATGCTCTCATTCACGGCCCTCTATCGGCGGAGATGTGTACTACTCGTTTGCGAGTGATTTTTGTAATATATAAGGAGTATTCATACAATATTCTGAACATTTCATCGACATTTGTATATTCTGTGACAATTCTTTCGCAATATACGGAATATTCGGCACATTGGGAATATGAATCAAACTTTCTATAAATATTTAGTATTAGTTGAGAAGATATATCCTGTTTTATTCTCAATAAATGAGATTGGATTGAAATGGATTGAAATTAATTTCGCATTCATGAACGTTGATGAATCTTTCTTTACACAATTTTACAACAATATAACGAGCTCAAATAATTTAAAATTAAAATAAATAATACAAAGGGCTACGAGTCGGGATGTTTATTGTTTAATAATTATTAAATTTTATAAACTAAATACGCACAAATGTTTCGACCGCTATCCAATCATTATCAATGTGATAATATTTTTTAATCTCAAAATATTAGGTGTTGGAATTAATTCGTAGCGTTTTTTAATGAAAGAATGTTATTTATTTCACATGAGCATTAAAAAATACATTAATGAAAGTACTTCCCATCACTTGTAAAACGCTACGAATTAATTCCAACACCTAATATTTTTATTTATTTATTTATACAGATTGCATGAAGCACATTTCTACACCTTTCAATTAAAAAAAAAAAGTTTTGGTTTTTTAAGTACATCGTGGATCGCTCTATTTAAAATTTTGAATATGAAATGCAATTGTTTTTCAATCTAATTAAACCTAAAAAAAGTTTTTCAATCCAATAATTGAATATGAAAAATGTAAAAATTCTATTAAAATATTTGGATAGATTTAAATGGATTAAAATTTCAATCCATTTTAATCTCATTTAATTCTCATTTACTGATTCGCAAACTTTTTTTTATCTATTATAGTTTGTGTTTGTAATAAAATCTTTTTGATTTTTCGTTTTTTTAAACGATTCAAAAATAAAAAGAGTCCTACGTTTAACATTTCCAAATATAATTAGAATGCGATATAATGTATTTCTGTAATGAATAATAAGTTAAAATAAACATTCATATTAAAACATTCATTGCTTATTTATTAAAATTTATATAATAATTCATATAATAATTTTGTTTCTCATATCATTAATTTTGTTTAAAATTGAAATTTTCGTTATTTAGGTAAGCATTGAACATCTATTTTACTTCAATCCATGCATGTGGCAAAGTATGAAGAGATTTATATTCTTTATTTATAAAACTTTGCCACATTTTGAATTTTTAAATATTTTCAAAAATGCTAAAGCAGGTTATTCTTGATATTTATTACAAATTAAATTTTGTAAAAAAAATTTGTTCATTTGAATACTTTATTTCATTAACTCAAAGCTTAAGTAGCCGCTTTGTCTCTCTACACTCCCTACATACCTCATTCATTTATGAACATTTACGATACCTTCACATTCTAAAATTTTATAAAAATTTTTTCGAAACTATTGTATAATACTTATATTTTTAACTGACTATATTTTAATGGATTTATATAAAAATTTATAATAGAACGAGCGTGGCAAAGCAAGTAGCGCACTAGTCTGCTATGTTAGAGATCTCGGGTTTGATTCCCGACAAAACTAAAATATTTTCATACGCTCATGTCTTCTTTCGGAGGGAAATCGGACGATTAAATAAAAACACTAAATAAAATATAAATTTTAATTATTTTATTAAAATTGTTTTGACTATTTTAACCTTAGTTTTGGGCATCCTTACTACATGTTGGATCATTCGTATTCTGGATTAATTTTCATCACTTTTACAAATATATAAAAATTATTAAAAGATTTTTGCGCGATATTTTGACATCTTTAGAAAGTTTGTAAAATTGCATATTTATAACAGATTGTATATGAATTGTTATAACTAAATATAGTTAACAAAATAAGAAAAAAACATTTTTTTATACAAAAATGTAAAATTCTGAAACAAAAATGTTTAAAGAAAAAATAGATTTCAATATCTTAATTGACATTCCAAACTACAAAAGAAAATACAGTTCAAAGGCTGTTCAAAGGCTTTAAAAAATTTAGTTATTTTGTGATCTGAAAATGATGTTTTTAATTATTACTGTTGTATTAAAAAAAAATTATAATTTATTAGGAAAATGTTCTTTATAATATTACAAACAACTTAATATATAATATTACTGACAACATTTTATATACATATAAGTATCAAAACCAGTATTTATTAAGGATTAATATTGTTCTAGGGTTAAATTCTTTTTTTAATAATTTACGAAATATTCCTGCAATGTAAACGAGAATTAGTTGAAAATAAAGAAAAAAATTAAAATATTTTTAATTACAAAAATGTACACAATACAGACGATAGGTTATTTATGACCAGAGGTGAACTTCGATTTTCGTTATTCTAGTTAAAGGATACGAATTGAGGTCGGCAACGCACAAAATTTGTTTTCTATTATAGATGTAAAATTTTTTTAGGCATAGAAAAGAGATCGGTATTGGACCAGATGTTCTTAATATTTCCAAGGAAAGAAATGCGCAGGACACGAATGATTCAAATGTGTGTATTAAGGATTAATTTTTATTTTACAGTTTGAAATAAAAAATATATTTATAAAATATGTATCTCAATTATAACAAAGTTTAATTAAAGTGAATTAAATTTCATATTAAACTGTATCGAAATTAAAATAAAAAATAAACTTGACATTGTGAAAAATGTCTAATTTTTAATTTCAAAAAGGAAAATAATTACATTTCTTTTAACACAACGATATATGGCCTAATACATAGTTTTCAATACTGATAGACTCAGTATTTGACTCTATAAATGTTAAATATATTACTTAAAAGATAATAACAACTGTTTGGAATAAAAGCATTTTAAGGATATTAAGTAAAGCTCAAAAAAAGTTTTAAACCGTTTTATATTTTTCCCTGATTTTTCCATATCTTCCATGACCAATTTAAATTTTCATGCGGTTTAGTCGATTTTTTGTGGCAATCCTAATTAAGAAATGTTAATTTAACGTAAAATGTTCACATAACACAATCACTTCATGTTAAATTAACACTCGGATTTATTAAAAATTCAACACAAAGTTTTAACAAAAGCCTATTTTATCATAAACGCAAAATATTTTTAATGTAATAGATATAAGATATATATAATTGTCATTCATTCCACCAATGCCTTCAGTAGCTCTACAAATCAATATGCATGGAATACACGTGCACATAACCTACATTCAAAAAATGATTCTGATCACAATATTACATTCTAGAAAAATACTCAATAAAATTCAGAAGAAACTCCAATTTTTATTTAGCGCTTGGTATTAGTTCGGACGAAATATTCACCTTAAAAATCAATATAATCTCGATAAATTTAGATGACGGATCGACGGATATATGCACACGAAAGTGTCTTATTGTAATTTAATCTTTTGAAAAATATATTATAATATAGCTCGAACTAATAATTTTATCTTTGTCGAATTTGTGCAATATAATGTTTATCTTTTATAGGTAAAGTTTTTGTACTTTTCATCTTTTTTTTCTTTATTTTCCCTTAACGTCTGATTATATAGAATTTTATTTCTAAAAGTACAAAAAAATATATAACGTAATATAATCACAAAGAACAGCTTTACATTGTGATAAGTCTATAAATATAAAATGCAATAAACAATAAGTCAATTACCTCCAAAATTGCATACATAATATTCATAAAAGACCACAAATTACTCAATCCGGCTTTCAAAATGCATCAGAGAAAGGGAAATGCAATTGTTATCAGATAAAATGATAGTAACAATAATACAATATTTATTTTATTCTGAGAAAATGTAAATGTTCATGCATATTTGACTATCTTTTTAAATTTATGCTTAATTTGTCGACAATATCTTTTCTATTTGTTGTCATTAGTAAGTTATCTTATTTTAATATTTATACCATTTTATACGAAAATTTTATATATATATATGTACACATATCAAAGATAAAATGATTTAGATAATAAATAATATTCATCAAATTAAATAAAAAGTATTTTAATATCAATAAAAATCGAAAAGATTAAATGTGAATCAACTTAAAGAATAGCAACACGATAATAGTAGACATAAGAGAGAGATGTATGAAAAAATATATGATATTAATCAATATTATAATAGAAAAAAATTATAAATACAAAATTACAAGAAAAGAAAACAGCGCAATAAGGAACAATTAATAATTTGATTGCTTCTGAAAGACCTTGCTTGTTCAATATTTAATAAATGAAATAAACTTCTGCATATGACAGGTCTGCTTTAAGTCGATAGATTTTGTCAATCCTTATTCTCAAACGCTCACCGTTCGTCATCTTGAGAATGTCCTGCTCTCGTTTCTCACACTCACTCAGGCAGAATCGTTAGCTCAGCAACTCAAAAAAATGGTAGATATTTTAATTGAAAGAACGAAGTATCGAGAGAACCGAATTGGATTATTAGCACGATATTCACCTTTCACACGGTGACCACGACTAGATGTTGCCACCAGGGCAATCTTTCTTTCTCTCCCTCTCATATTCTGTTTCTGTTTCTCCCTCTTCCTAACTCCCTTACCCTCTCTTACAACCCATTCTCCTTCTCTCGTTCTTTCTCTTTCAGTCCAGTATCCACCCTTACGTTTATCCTCGTCTCTCGTCTTCATCGAAGCAGCATGCGCGAGATGCGCGTCCACGGCTACCTACCTTCGCTAGCTACCGCCATTCCTTCATTCTCCACCGTTCTTTCATCCCTCGTTTTCTATCTTCTACGTCCACTCTTTGGTCAGTATTCATAGTCGATTCTTATATTTAATACTATCTTCAGATGTTTCAAGATGTCACGGACCAATTAGAGGACTGTATTAGTGTCTCTCTCTTAAGACATTATTTGAAAACTGTCTTACAATAAAAATGGATTATATACCAGCCTTTATACAAAAGAGAAAGTATAAAAATGGCTAATTTTGGCCCTGAACGGACACCTTTAAAACCTGTACAATTATTATCTTGAAGATCCACGTATTTATAAAAGAAAATGTGTTTATTCAGGAAAGCTTGAGAAAGCTCCAGGAAAGTTTTCAAAAATCATAAAATGGGCTGTATGAATGCTTTGCAAAACTCATTTTGTTTCCAGTAAACAAAAGATTTCTAAACTAATGATGTGTGTACATTTAACACATGTTTGATCATTATAAAAATATAGTATCAGGAAGATACACAATATACAGGATGTTCCACCTAAAACAGAACACCGAAATATACCGAAAACTGAACCCGATGAAATTTTTCGTATCAAAGTTATATTAATTGAAAGAGGACAAATAAAATCAATTTTTGAATAAAATTAATTCTTCAGGGTCACTTCCACTTATTTAAATGGAATTATTGGATATGAATTTTTTACATAATATGTCTCCTTTAATTATTCTGCATATAAAAATGTTAAGATAAAGGAATCAGAGAACCAATAATTCATGAGACATTTTTTATGTCAATATGTGTTAAAATAAAGTATAAAATATCTCGTAGTATATAATATTTCATGTCAATATATGTTAAAATAAAGTGTAAAATAATCAATAGTTTTTTGATATTTCTTAACATTTACCTTAACATTTTTATATGCAAAATAATTAAAGGAATCACATATTATGTAAAAAAATCATATCATTCCATTTTAAAAAGTAAAGATGATCTTTATGTAACCTTAAAAAATCAATTTTATTTTTTAACTGATTTTATTATTATTTACTCCTTTCAAGCCATACAACTTTTTACTGACATTTTGTCTACTAGGTTCACTTTTCGATATATTTTGACGTTTTGATTTAGATAGAACATCCTGTATATTTTTTAATCTCTCAGGTAGTGCTATGTATTCTTGTAATATTTAATAATCCAACATTTGTTAAAATTTAATGCACCATTACTTTTGAAATTTATCGTTCATTAAAAACAAAATAAGTTTTTTTTTGCAAAGCGTTCAAACAATGTATCTTATGATTTTTTAAAAATTTCCTAAATTTTCATAGATAAATAGATAAGCTTTTTTTTATGAAACTATGGATCTTCAAAAACAATAACTATAGGTTTTAAAAGTGTCTGTTTACCAAAATTGACTATTTTTATACTCCTTCCATTTTTTCTTCTTTGGGTTAATCATATTTCTATCTCATTTTTTTCTTTTCATTTTTTTAGGGATTTTTCCCTTCGCTCAAATATCCACATTATTGTGAGGGTCAGACAATGAATTCCGGAAATGAACGAACGAGTTATTTTTTTATTTTTCTTATCGCACAGATACGCGCTGAGATTTCAGCAAAGTATGCATTAATTCATTATCATTTTCTAACTTAACAAATATCAGCGTACAATTTCATTTCCATTCGATTTCCTTTTGTCAAATATTAGGTTATAAACAAATGAATTCTGAGGTATCAAATAGATCGCTTTATTATTACCATTTCCTAGCTTAATTAACAAATATAATGTATAATTTCGTTTCTGCTCGATCAAGCGACGCAGTAACGTCGCGACGCCAAGTATATAAAAATATAAAACGGGTTACTTGACGGGTCGCTTGACGTGTGAATGTCATTGCGTATATGTTCGTGCCGCTACCACTAACTTTATCTGAAGTTTTGGCAACAAACTTTCCATTAAAATTGCTGAGGAACCAAAACCGCAATTAAAAATCTAAAACTTTTATTATATAACACTTTTATTATATAATGTCATCGGTATCTTTCGATTGCGATCATTTCGAATAAAATTAGCAGCCGATACCGAGATTTGGAAATTGTATTCTGAAAAAGGACCATTTCAGCTTTTCAATTTTTTTCAGTCGCACTTGTGATACATATAAAACATTTTGTTCATTAAGCTGCTGTTCACAATGCCTTCATACAATTTTAATTTTAATATAAAATAAAATTAGCAACGAAAGTGAACCTTGATATGCATACGGGTGTAATTTATGTACATGAGCCAGATAAACAGGAAGAGGGCAAGAGAGAACGAGAGAGACAGAGAGCGAGAGAGAGAAAGAGAGAGAAAAGGAAAGACAAAAGTAGAAAAATAAAAGTGTAAAAGAGAGAAAGTGAGGACAAGGAGAGAATGAGAAAAAGCGAGAGCAAGATTACAAATCTTAATATTAAATCTATATCGTCATCAAAAATTTGTATTAGTGATAATATTTATAAATGACAGTAATTAAAGCAAACAGTGTAATAAAAAGTTGACAGTGTAATTCTTCATCATGGTAAAAATATAAACGGAAGACATTATACAAATTTATTGCAAGCAAAAGATACAAAATGAACATCCATAAATGATTTAAAAGTTAAAATATGTAAGTGCCTTGAAATACTAAGAACGCATGTATATTTTTCTTAGAACAAATCTAAATAATTAATTATCAAATAAATGAGTTAAATCAATACAATATTAAATAAATATGACTTAATATTAAATAAATATAAATTTACAAAATACAAATTTACAAAATTTACAAAATATAAATTTTAGAAATAATCTGTATTCATTTTTAGAAGATTTAATAAATTTTTCTGCATTATTACATTTTCAAAAATTTACAAAAAGCAGTGAAATGCCTAAAAATACTTTTTTAAAAAAAGAAAACATATATATCAAGTGCAAAAAAAGATATTGAATACATTCTTCTTAATAAAAAATGAATATGAAATAAATGTAATTAGCCAAGTATTTCATTACGCAAGACACATAAAATAGATATAAAATAGATAAATGACTAAAATTGTTAAAATAGACATAAGTGATTAAAATTGTCAATGGATTATAGTGAAGAAAAAATTTGGCATGTCCGGATCGCATTAAAACGCAATATTCTAGGACCAATACGTTTTTCTTTATACGGAAATTATTTACGATACAAATTAACAAAAAGATTATTACATACAATATTTTATTGATATACGCATAGATGAAAATAATAATTCAACAAAGAAGAGATGTTAATAATTGTTAATATTACTTACTTGTTAATCTTGTAAATTCGTTATGTATAATGTTTCTGTATTTAAATATTATAAATATTGTTACATATATTCCTGCATAATTTATATCGTCTATTATTTGTGAATATATTTTCATATCCATACAAACTATGTCACTATATATTTTAATTTATAATGCAAATATTGTGTTGAAATACAATAATATATTCATAGAAATACAATTAATGTTACTCGGGTACGCCAAGTTTTTTCTTTACTATAATCCATTAACAATTTTATATTAATATATTGACAATTTTAGTCACTTTCAGTCTATTTTATGTGTCTTGCGTAATGAAATACTTAGCGAATTACATTTATTTCATATCCGTTTTATTATTAAGAATGTGTTTAATATCTTTTTCATGCACTTGGCGTATATTTTTTCTTTTTTAAAAAAAATTTTTTAGGGATGCCTTTTGTTAAATATTAATTATAAACAAATTATTAAAAGATAGATGACGAATAAATCGCTCATCATTATTTTCTAGCTTAATTAACAAATACCAATGTATAATTTTGTTTGCAATCTCCTTTTGTTAAATATTAAATTACGTTATATAGAAAGTGCAAAATGCAGAGAATAGCTACGTTCAACATTTGTAGTGTTTCCGAAATACCATAATGTCCCTAAACATTGTTTCCGAACACATTCGGTCAGCGCCTCTAACGCCACCTAGCGCAGACGCTGCAACCATACCTATATTCTGATCGACACAATCATAATGATGAAAAACGATTTATCTTATTCTGAAAAGTTATAGATCTAGATTTTACGTCAAAATACTTCCTCTTGTAGGATACATAAAGAAAAAATAAAAGCACGTATTATACAATTGGAGTGTAAACTATCGATCAAGCATACATAAAACTTGATCGGATCAGCCGTTATTGAGATCTGATAATTTCGATTCGGTGCAACTCGCTATCTCACATAAAGGAGCACGGCAATATCTCTCACCATGACGCTGCGCTTATCTTAACGCCGAGACACTAGCGCATCTCCAGACTGTCTTGTCTCATTCTAAAAATAGGCATTTTATCTCATAATTCGCGCTGAAGAGCAATGATTTTGGGGATTTTGGTAATCTATAATCAGTATGTATATGTAAGGATGATTATACAATATTATAGATAGTTTTATAAATATTGGAAATTATAGTAAAAACTAAAAATCAAATGTTGCAGCAACTATTATGTTCTCGAATTACTGATAGACTTTTATCCTATACAACAAAAAATCTCATATATTCATCTTTTTTTTTTTAAATACTGATCTACAATAATACTAATATAATGTTGATTTAATAATGTTAAAGGCCCCTATTATGAGATACCGAGTTCATTTTAGGTAAATGCTAGAAGCCTATAGGCAGAATTTAAAAAAATAATAAGTCATTTTTTGAAGGGAATTTAATAAGCTTTAAAATAACATTATATAAAATTTAATTCAAATTCCATTTTTTTTTAATTAAAAAAATGTAAAAAGTGAGCAAATCGCAAAGTCAAAAAATTGTGTTCCTAATATGAGATGCCCCGAAAAATCGATAGTAAAACGTAAAATATATCAGTATTGTAATTAAAAAACTTTATTTAATGTTTCTAAAATACAAACAAACACAGCTAGCGTGCGCGATAAGTGAGCATGTATAGATTATACCCAGAACTCGTCTTCAGCTAATTGGAATCAAGCATCGCAGAAATAGGCACGTTCATTCCGGTTATCTTTTTTATTATTGTACAATAACATTTTATATTTTAACAATGATTTTCACTATAACATAGAAGCATGGATTATTTAATTTCAGAAATACCCTGAGTATCTCATATTACGATTTCCACGCCTTAAAGTTTTACGATCATTAAATCTAACTTCTATAATTTAACATATTTTTCTATTGGTATGATTTTACTCTACCACTACATACAGAATTTATTGCCAAATATTTATTTACTAAATAATAAACAAGATTTAAAGGCTTATCTCAATAAAACTTGAAGCATCCAAATTCTAAAATCTTTTTTTACAAGGACTACAGGCATGAACTAATAATGAATTTTCTATTAAACAGTTTTCAATCCAAGAGCAATAAATTCATGGTGAAAGCAATAGATAGCGTTTATTAGCAGAAACACCTATCTTATATTAGGGAATGCCTTATCTCATATTAGGGAACTTTCCTCTAATAATAAAAAAAACACTAAAGGTAACATATATTCTTTTTTGTCATAAAAAACCTAATTAATTATTCGAGGGATGTTTTGAC